GCAATTTGAAAAATCGACAGTGAAATTGGCACAAGTGGAGCATGCCACTTGTTTCTGGTTTTACTCTTCGATTTTTCGAATTTAGTATCGCGGTCGCGGTCGCGGATAGGTTCTTGTTTCCGGTTTTACTCATCGATTTTTCGAATTTAGTATCGCGGTCGCGGTCGCGGATAGGTCGCGATCGCGAGTAGGTCCCGAAACGGACGTTCACGTAGGCATTGCTCGAGCATGCACATGCGAACGGACAACGATCATTATGATCTATGGTCGTCCATGTGTGTTGGGGGTCAGCTTTCGCGGTTTATCTTTTCATTTCACCTTTATAAGTTATTTTTTAGTTTGCGATTAGAAAGACTCGAGCTAATTTCAGCGGGCATTGCGCTCGAAGAAAGAAGTGGCTTGAAGCCGAAGAGGCCCGGCAAACTGCCACGAAGAGGGTCGCAACAAATGGCTTCTCATCCTCTGGATCATTTAAATGATTCCACAGCATGGGAAGTCATTCTTGTTACTACTTTGTCACTATGCTCATTTAGTATTTGTAGTTGTATTTTTTTGTTTTCTTCATCATCGTTCGTCATCGTTTTGGGCAGATCGCGGTTTCTCTTGTATCGCGAGAGATTGATTACGGGTTGAATTAGAGTTGCGAGATAATTTCGCGACTGTTTATTATTATCGCGAGAAATTGATTAATTGGTTGAAATTAGAGTCGCGAAGAAATAATAATCGTGTTTGCTTTTAGAGTTGCGAATTATGATACCGCGGTTGTCTTTTGCAATTTTGATTGTAAATTTTTGAATATTATAAAGTCATTGCTTTTGATTAATTTCAGTATATTCGAAATAACATTTTCGTTAATGCAATAGTTGATGATAATTTTTAATGTTGAATTTAGAGTTAACGTTGCGACATTATTTCATCGCGATTTTCAATTACTTTTACTCTTAGTGTTGCGATAAGGAATGATCGGGTTTCTTGAAGTAGCGTTGCGCCTACAAAATGCCCAAATTCTTCCACTGAATTCGTGGAAGG